TTCTATGAGTCATTCTACAATTCCTAGGCACAAAAACGCGCCTATGATCAAGCGGCACCACCGCCTATTCATTTCGATATGAAACGTCGAGGTATGGACATGAACTATGCGGCAATGTCTATGCAACAATTACAACCACATTCACCACAACTTGGACCACCACAAGGAATGGGACAACAACAGGGACCACCCGGAAATGCGCGTATTTTAGCGATTAACCCGGCGATGAATTATGGTGGGTTATAGATGTGATTGCGTCTGTTTGCATGCCTTTCAATCTACGCTATCCTCCTAATTTTGTCAAAATTTTGATTGTAAGACAGATTGAAAAAATAATTTTGAAAAAAACCAAAATTGTACCCTAGAAATTTCATCAGCTAATTTTCTCTTAGTACGGAGCGAAATCACAGGTAGGCAGCGCCTGCGCGGACCACTGGTCCTTTCGCACATGCTGTTGCGGCCACGTTAGGATCAGTTGTCCGCCAACTGGCGCTAATGACGGGAGTTCTTTTGCCCTTTCCCTTAGCGATTATACAGCTTGACTCTGCAGCTGAGAGCCATTTTTGTCGAACGGCCATCCTGTTAAGGACAACTTTCTGGGTTTATGGGTTATTGTAGAGGTACGGTGGGAGTACGGTAGATGTCCAAATACACTGATAGCTAAGATCCGTTTCTGTTACTGTGAACACATTAGACTCGTGGTACTCATGTATTAGAATTTCTTTAGTCAGCAAATATGGTCGGTGTAGCTCTTTGTAATGCTGCAGCATACTGTGGGAGTACGGTAGCAGGGTGGAACTTTGTTTCGAGATGATTTCTTCACAAGTGTTACTTTTGACGATCGCACAGTCATATTATCTGAAGCCTACGTACCAAGCCTTTACGTACAGATTAGCAGTCTCGGTATTAGCCCACCGAATACTGTAGGGATACTGTAGCGTCATGTGCATGCTTGGTTGGCATCCTTGATAGAAATTGATGGGACGCCCTCATTGGTATGTAACAATACACATCAGTTACCATGGGAACTTTATCGGCTAAAAACTTTTAGAGGAGGTATTACCAAGGTCGACTTTGGGATGGGTTGGGAGGAGGTATGAGGAAATCTGTGGTACTGAACTCGCTTACAAGCTAGCCTAATTTTCATCGATGTTGTGTTGTGTTCGTGTTCATCATCCTTCAATATTTCAGATTTTGCAGGCCTCCCCGCAATGGGAGCCCCGCGAATGCTTCAATGTGGACCACCACCGCCACCACCGCCACCATTGAATGAGCCGGCCTACCTGCTACCAACCTATGGTCATACATCTCCCACACCGGTTGACTTCTACAATCCGAAGTCGTACACATTCGAAGAGATCACACCCAATGGCGATCCGTTCATTCCACCCAGTTATGCGCCCGAGATGAAGAATGCCGTTGTACTACAGCCTCTGTAGTGTGTTATGTATCGAAATTTGGCTGTTTACCCACGACGGCAACTCTTCTTACCTAGGTAATGATCGTAGTCTGTGATGTAAAACCGAAACAAACCGCGTCATAATTTTTTGCTTTGCAGAAGCGCATTATATCGTTGTTAATAAGGTACGAATTGTGATGTTTGTGCCCCCTTCGCCTAGGCAGTGGGTGGATTGAGTTCGGCTTAGAGCGCAGATATTTATAGAGCTATTGAGAGAAGTTCACAATCCGCCCTACTGCTTGTGAGGTAGGCACTTACCCCCTTATCAGTCGCGCGCGGTTAGGACCCGGGCTTGACCCCCCGCATACACGAACCAGGAACCCACAGTAAACCTCTTACCACACGGGTGCTAGCTACTTGAATTGTTGCGAACACCAGTGCATTGTTGTGCCTCCTCTTCTAGCATCTATAGCAAAATTTCCAAGCAGCCACCACCCCC